CACACACACACACACACACACACACACAAACACACATACACACACACACACACACACACACACGCGCGCATTTACGTATATCTACATGATGTTAAACAGTTTAAATACATTTAAGATAGTCTGAAGAAATAATTATCGATACCGCGCCAATGACTTGTCCCGTGCAGATCAAGTCTAGAATCAGAAACGGCGTAGATCTACTTAAAATGTACTCTCACTGAACATGGCACACAACTCCTAGTCATAATCAAACCATATAGTCACACTTCTCAGAAGACGGCATAAGAGTAGGCCCTAAGTGGGGAACTGTGTCTAACAACCTCCTTGGTCTAACGCTAATTATAATAGAACTCAGTGCCTGGCCGGGGTGGGGGAAAAGGGGAGGGTGGGGTATTGTTTAAGCGGCGTACACTCTGTCAGCCGAGTGCCTCTCCCTGACTCTCATCCGCGGTAACATTAAGGGTTTTTTTATAACATGACTAGCCAATTCTGCAAAGCGCCGTTCTGCCACGTAAGGTTTCAGTAGGAAGTAAGTGACGAATAGAACTTCAAACAGAACCATGGGTGACCAAAAACCTACAGGCAGTACAAATTTGAGCCATGCTGACAATAAATGTACTGACAGTGACTAGAAACAGTTTTGCTGATAACGTTACTTATGAAATACATGTATTAAATAGTATTATCCTTCAATAAAGTAAGCAACAGAGAAGCCATATTGGCAACCAGGGGCTTTCTCTTTGGACCCAGTAGACAATTTATTTTAAAATCGCCGGCTAAGAACACTGTGTTCGCGCGACAGGAGGCGGTGACAACAAAGGTGAGCCACCGTTAATAAAACAGAGACGAAGGAAAGAAAATCGGGAGTGCATCAACTTATCAGTGAACCCTTATCGTCTTTTTTTTTGGGGGGGGGGGGAGGCGCCTTCAAATCAGCAAAGCGATTTTTGAATGTTGACAACAAATATAAATTAAGATTTAACTTGAAACTGAATGAAAGTTATTAGCAGCAATAAATCTGTTGTCCACTGTCCAGCAGATAAAGCTCCGCCGGTCTTGCCCAGTTAACGAACGGAGCCTGATAAGTATGTGAAATGAGTGTACATGTATTTATCCAGTAACTCCTCCACCCCCACCCCCACCCCCAATCCTCCACCCACCCACTTTCATTAAATGTTGTAGGACTTTTTTAGAAATTAAGTGTACTTTCTTCACTAGAAGCTCCTATTCTGGCTTCGTCTGTCTCTTTGTTTCGTAGTTTATACGAATGAGATGAAAACAATCTAAGCCTTACATTGAATTGCTAAGTCATGCCAGCACATAAAGCTAATCTCACTTCTTGTTACATTCCCCTGGCTTTTGTCTCTCTGTTTATAAAGAAGAATATTAGGCATTCCCAAACACAACAGAAAGACACGAAGAGCACAATGCCACCTACTTCAGTAAAATGACAGCGTGGAAAGTGACAGTACGAAAGAAAGAATAAATATCGGGCACGGCCTCAACAAAAGCATTCGGAGAACGGATTTCGGGTTTATCATAGCTACAGGCTATAATTCATTCTGTGCAACACTTCAAGCTTTCGTGGTGGCCTTTGTTGCCGATTGTCAGTCGTGGTGTTTTATTTTGCGATCAATCGATATCTTTTATCTGAAGACAAAAAAAACTTTCGCCTATTTCTCCCTTACGCTCTCTCAATCAAGAGGTCGCGAGTGATATCGGCATTCCAATCTATCTATAAGCGGTGATTTCAATTGGTTCTTACATGCATAAGTCTCAAAAGTTTTTCTTCCTTTGATATTTCGACATCAATGGGTTTGTTGGGGTATTTTTATAAAGAAAAGAAAAAGAAGAAAGTCTATCGGTTGTGAAAAACAAGGGCGTATTCATTCGTGAGCGTGTGTGGCCTGTAGACGAAGACAAAGGAAGTGTGCTTTTATTATATCAACATAGAAACCTGAAACCGAGGAATGCATGTACAATGTATTTCATAGTGTGTGCAGATATCCTGTTTACAAGATGTCCTTTTCAAACAGTAACGTAAGCTCTTTTTGGGCTATGCGCTGAAACATT